CAAGGGGAAAACGCGCAGATTTAGTATATTACAGGGGGGTTTGGTGCAATTTACCCTTTTTTTTTTGGGTAATAAAGAAAAACGAAGAAAATAAATAAAAATAAACTAAAAACCCTACATAGCTACCTATCACACCAACCACCACGTTTCCGTATGTCTAGCCCTCGGATCTCCCAGCACTTAATATCAACGGTCACAAAATGTGACACGTGGTTCCCACTTATCGAGAAACAAGCGGACTGTCTGTGACCACGTGTCGCCTGGAAGTAAAATATCAGAGTCCTCCCTCGTCCAATCGCTTTACCCTTTGCTCTGCCACACAACACACACACCACGCTTTCTTCAACCAATCTCCCCGGAGCTAAGTCCCAATTTCCCGCCGGCCGGCACCCATCCGAAAACAACACATAAAAAAAAAAAGAAAATAAAATAAATCAAATCATTCTATGACAAAAATCATTCCGCTAAGACCCCATCACCAATTTTTTCTTCAATTCCCATTTTTCATTCCGAAATAAAGAAGAGATTTTTTCTGTCAAGATTCAGTCGATGATTGTAAATTGACTGTCCCATCTCGGTTCTTTTTGTTGTCAAGGAGACTTGTAAGCAGAGAGAAAGAGAGAGAGAGAGAGAGAGAGAGAGAGAGAGATTTATTCGAGTCTTTATCTGCAATTTTTGAAGTAAAAAACCATTCTTTGAAGAAGAAGAAGAAGACCATGGCGGATTCCGACAACGATTCCGGTGGTCACAGCAACAGCAACGCCAGCAGCCGTGAACAGGACAGGTTCCTTCCAATCGCGAACGTCAGCCGGATCATGAAGAAGGCCCTGCCGGCAAACGCCAAGATCTCCAAGGACGCCAAGGAAACCGTCCAAGAATGTGTCTCCGAGTTCATCAGCTTCGTCACCGGCGAGGCCTCCGACAAGTGCCAGAGGGAGAAGAGGAAGACGATCAACGGGGACGACTTGCTCTGGGCCATGACCACCCTAGGGTTTGAGGAATACGTGGAGCCCCTCAAGGTTTATTTAGCCAAGTACAGGGAGATGGAAGGTGAAAAGAGCTCTTTGGTGGGGGGCAAGGAGGGCGGCGGCGGAGGCAGCTCCGCCGCGAATTCCGGTGGGTATAACAGCGGCGGGCCAGTGGTGGGTGGTGGTATATATGGTGGGGCGGTGATGGGCTATCATCACGGTGGACAGATGTACGGTGATGGCGGCAGTGGCGGCGGCAGTGGTGGTGGTGCCGGTGGGTTTCAGCATATTGGCGGTGGTGGTGTTGCTGGAAAAGGGAATTCTGGCGGCTATGGGTTGGGCGGTGGATCCACTGGAAGGCCGAGGTAGGTTGGTGCCGATAGTGCCTCGTTGGAGAATGAAGTACCTGATCATTTGCCTGATAGATATACTGTGATTTAAGTGAATGGGGGTGATGATTGATTATAGACTTTTTTTTCCCATCCCTATATTTTTGTGTTTTCTCGGTTTCTGGATGGTTCGACCGATCGCTTGTTGCCAATATTATATTTTTGGGATGGTGGGGATGTATGATTTGATGGTGCATAGAGTGATCATAGAAAGGATGTACAACTTGTAACAATTGTGACTGCACTTTGTGAAACTTCAAACTGCATATGTGTTTAATCTGAGTTTCATTGTACTTTTGTGTTAATTTAAAGAGTTCAGTTTAGTTCTCCAATTTGTTTTTTTTTTTTTTTTTTTTTTTTTTTTTTTTTTTTTTTTTTTTTTTTTTTTTTTTTTTTTTTTTTTTCTGGTTCTGGTTATTTTAGGCTGTTATTGATTTAATGCTAGAAATTGTTTTGTGAATGTTGCAAGAACCTTTTTGGTATGGTTCTGTGATATGCTTATTGGAATTAAACTTTCTGCTTGTATTTGCAAGATTTTCATCCGGTATCTGTTCTTTTGCTATAACTCTGCTTTGCTGGTCAAAGAAATGTAACATGGGGCCTTGAAACACAAGAGGATTGTTTATTTTGTGTGGTTTGATTAGAAGATATTCTATACTTTGAGAGTCCTGTTCTAATCCGGCTCGTCTTGGAACACCTTTATGTAGTCTTCTCCTGTGAAGAGTTTCGTATGCTTTCTTGCATAGTTTTACAAAACTATATATTCAAGGATATAAAATTTGGACATTTTTTTGCTTTTACTGGTTTCTTGCCTTGAAACCGATACACACTCCCACGATCACACTCTTGTCATACTCGTCTTATCGACTTTCATTTGAGGACACGATGCACTAAACCTGAGCACAAGTTGATATTTTGATGTGTACGCAACTTAAGAAGTCTTATTGATAGCACATACAATGGAAGTAAAGGGAAAAAAAAACAGTGTCTGTTCTTTGACAAAATACCTTCAAATTGAAGTAAAGGTGATATTTTTTTCTTTCATCCCTCTTGACTAGTGCTTATTTTCTCCATTTTTTCCACCTTCAGCAGCTTCGAAAACTACATCGAAAGCGAAACAAAGTCCTTTTGCAGCAGCAAAAAATTCAACCAGTTTCTGCTCATTCCTCAGACTACCTTTTATGCAGAGCCCCCTCACCAATTCCCATCCAACAGGAAAAAACCGAGAAATAATTCGTCGAAACACAATCATACCTCCCCCGTTTTCATGAAAAACTCATAGGTAACAAGTCGCTATATTTGGTAGTTGCAACAAGTACCTCCCACTGAAACTGAATCACTCCTGCTCAAAACACCTCTTTTAATATAAAACCGACTAAACCAGACTAACACACACACACCAAAAGATAAAATGCGCAATGGCCTTAAACTTTCCTTCTCTAATACCCACCTTTCTTCTCTTCCTAGCCGTCTTCTCCCACCCGACCACTGCAAATGCAAGACTCGAGCAAGCTCACACCGCCTTACAAGCCTGGAAACGAGTCATCTTCTCCGACCCCAAAAACCTCACTTCCAACTGGCACGGATCAGACGTCTGCTCCTACACAGGAATCTTCTGCGCTCCACACCCAAACGACACCTCGTCTCTTACCGTAGCCGGTATCGACCTCAACCACGGTGACATCGCGGGCCTTCTCCCACTCGAGCTCGGCCTCCTAACCGACCTCGCCCTAATCCACATCAACACCAACCGCTTTTGCGGCATTCTCCCGAAAACCTTCTCAAACCTCACACTTCTGTTCGAGCTCGACATAAGCAACAATCGCTTCGTGGGACCTTTCCCCACCGTCGTCCTCTCCCTCCCTTCCCTCCGTTACGTCGACATCCGATTCAACGAGTTCGAGGGCCCACTGCCACCTCAGCTCTTCTCCCGCCAGCTGGACGCCATTTTCGTCAACAACAACCGATTCACTTCTGTTTCCCTGCCGCCGAATCTTGGGTCGGGTAGTAAGGCATCGGTTATCGTGTTTGCTAACAATCGTCTTAACGGTTGCTTTCCTCCGAGCTTAGCAAAACTTGCGGATACATTGGAAGAGCTGCTGTTGATAAACACGAGTGTTAAAGGGTGTTTGCCGGAGGAAGTGGGCTTGCTGTATAAGCTGAGAGTGTTGGATTTGAGCCTTAACGAGATGGTTGGGCCTTTGCCGTACGGGCTTTCGGGCCTGTCCAGGCTGGAGGTGCTCAACCTGGGGCACAACGGGTTCGGCGGGGTCATCCCTGAAGGGGTGTGCGTCCTGCCGAGCTTGTCGAACTTTACGTTCTCGTATAACTTTTTCTGCGAGGAGCAGGGGCAATGTGGGAATTTGAGCTCGAGGGGGGTCGTGTTTGATGATCGGAGGAACTGTTTGGTGGGGAAGAAGATGCAGAGGAGTAGGAAGGAGTGTGAGGAAGTGAAGCCTGTGGACTGCTTTGAAAATGAGTGCTGTGGGGAGGCTGCTGCTCCTCCTTGAGTTTCTTTATTATTTTTTTTTTAAAAAAAAAAATTGGCTGTTGTGCGCATTGTTTGTGGTGTGGCCTTTGCGTGTGTAGTAATGTACTGTGGTGGGTTTTTAATTTGCTTGTAAATGAACTAGCACATGTAATGAAAACTTGTGATTGTGCGTTTGTGTGTTTGTAATGGATCTTGGTGATTAATGAATACTTTGTCTATCAAGACTTTTTGACTTTGTATGATTCAATGTGATATGGTATATCATGCCAACTGCCGGAGCTTGGGTATCTCGATGGGAGCTCGATTGATCAAGACATAATTGGTGGCTCGGTCAGAATTCAGACAGTACAAAGGCACCAAGCTCTACTTTTAGGTCGAGCCAACTCAACTTGACCAGAATGGAGACCTAGATGATAAGGTATATCATGCCAGTCAGTAGAGCTCGGTTGGTTGGACACAACTGATAGCTCGGTTAGAGCTAGAACAAAGGAGATAATTAGGTAGCTCAGACCAGGTTGTTGACGTTAAGAACGTCAGGTTGAGTTAGGTTTCTAAGATAGTCCGTAATATCACTGTCCACAAGATCTATATCGGATTCAAAAATCAATCCTCCACAAGGAATTAGGTCCCAACAAAGAGGCTAAAAACAAGGTACCAACTTAAATTACTCCATACTTATCTTTTTTGGTCTCCAACAGAAAACTAGTAAACTTAGGAGCAAGAACAGGGCTGGCTCACCTTATTAAATCAACCCCTTCCAACCTATTATACATCTCACAGTTCACTTCTCTTTTTTTTTTTTTTTTTTCAAACGATAGAAATTTCATAGATAACCACAAACGTACATCCAGATACGACGACCCAAAAGCCGAAAGGACGGCTCACAAGCCGAATCTAGATCTCACAGTTCACTTCACTCTTTCTTTTTTTCACCTTCTTCTTTCTCTTCCCAAAACAATCACAAGAAAAAAAAGAAGAAAAAGAGAATGAACCATCTCTCATGGACAATACTAATACTTTGTGTGTCATCCTTCACATTTGTCGTCGCATCACCTTACGGGACTCGACCAAGTAATCACTATCACGCGGGATTCGTTTCGCCGGGCTTCTCGAAATGTGACGGGATTACGGGTGATTGTACATACGGCCAAGAAGAAAACATGATGGAGTCGGATATAAGCCGGCGTATGTTAGCTCAGTCGGGTTATATTAGCTACGGTGCGCTGCAGAGGGACAATGTCCCGTGCAGCGTGAGAGGAAATTCGTACTATAACTGCAATTCGCACGAGCAGGCTAACCCGTACGAGCGTGGTTGTACTCAGATCACATATTGTGCTAGGAATAATCACTAGTCCAGTTTAATTAGCCCGTGATTGATTAATAATCTATCTGTAGTTTTTTTTTTTTTTTTTTTT